GTTGAGATGAAGTTAGACATAGAAAAAAGTACACTTGAGGGTAGAGGAACAGCAGAGTTCAACTAAAAGGCAAGTTATCAGGTTCTGAATTTTGAACAGTAAAGATCCAGCTTCCCAAGAAAGGTAACTTTTTGAATTGTGAATACAAAAATAAACTGGAAAGGCTAGAGGTGAAGAGTGTTAAACACTCAGTCTAAAGACTGAGTAGTCTGAAGTTAATAGATGAGACTGTAGGATGAAAGTGGAGCATGAAGTAAATTGTTCTAGTCTGGCCCACGGTGGTGGTGACGGCAGGTGGACAGCAGGTGGTAAGCCGGAGCAGCTGACAAGGAAGATTCTGGAGGCCTCCGTGACTCAAAGAATGTGGGAGCAGAGGAAAGAGGTATAAAAATAACTCCATTTTAAGCAATGCTTTACAAAGAGTGCTCAATTTCACCCAAAATGATGAAGTACCCAAGAGGTATCCAAGACCGTATTTTGAGTTCCGTGACAAAGAAAGAAACCAATCATCTGAGAACATTTTCTCTGGCAGGCCAGCCGTTTTAAACTTCCTGCTTCATCAGCCTCACCTTCCTTGACTTGCACTTTGAAATCCCATAACTGGGAATCAGGTCATTATGAGATCAGTTCTCTTGCGGACACCAAGCTCATGAATCACACCAAATCTGACCCATAGGCCAGAGGGCAGTGGCCCTAAAACTGTCTGTCCTCACTGTGGGCTAAAATGAACGGCCATATAGGAAACAATGTAATCTTGCAGGCAATGTGGCAAAGAAAATGTGTGCTTGGCTCTCAAAAGAAATGAATCATCTTCTTTTTTGTGGAGACTCTTCCTTGGTTAAATTAAAAGTCTTCTCACAAGCATGATCTCATTCTCACAGTAGCTCTGAAAAAGAGGAAATGGAGGAAATATTTGATTCCCATTTTCTAAAAGAATAAATTGAGAGATGGAGAGTCAAGTGACTCTTTTCCAATCCACCCTCTTAAGTAGGCCAGCAGGGTTAAATCTAGAGCCAGTTTTCCTAACGACATCCCTTTCTGTGCTCATGAGCCCAGTCTGGCTCAGGACTTGGTGTGGCACCATCAGAAGGCATATACCAGGTGGCTCATATTTTTATTTCACAACATGTAAATGACATTCATACAGCACAGTCTATAAATATCCTACCCAATCAATTCTATTTGAGCAAGCAAACATTTGCTTACATCTCCATTTTCAGCAATTTTGGCGTGACAGTGTCTAGGCATCAATATATTTTTTAAGTGAGCAGTGGAGTTGTGTCAAGTTGTTAGATAGTTTTATCCTGTGATAACTGACCGCTCGTTTTTTACATTCAGAAGTCTTCTGAGTAGCTCCGTAAAGATGTTGCTGCAGGGTCCTTTATCACTTGCTTGCTTGATGACTTGAAAAATTGCTCTGAGTGAAAAATATACATAAGTTTTAGAAGTCAGTCTTACTAAGAACCACAGATAGTTCTCATTGTGTGTTTAAATAGTAAAATTACATTAAAACTCAAAAATAGATAACATTAATCACTATAATGCCAATAACTACTCTTTAGACCTGGCAGGGAAGCGTGAGAGCTTTGAGCATTACCCTTAGTTCTGTTTCCCTATGAATTTCTGGCATAGCAGAGGGAAGAATAAAGCATGCTTGGGGGCTGGGGAGTTTGTTAACTGTGATTAAATTTAGGGAGAGCCTTAGAGGAAAATGGCATTTGTTACTTTCCTGCCTTTTACTTTCCCACTCAGAAACTCATACTCATCCCTAATTACGACTGTTGGGGGAATATCTTGGTGGGACTGTCCTGATTTTATAGACGGATATAACCAAGGACAGATAATAATTACTGAAATAGCAATTATCCTTTGCATAACAATTTACAGCTTACAAAGCCCCTTTCACCTGTATGATCTCATTTGTTATTTCCCATAGAACGCTAAGTTGCTGTTATTATTGTTCCCCATTACTTCTGAATAATCTGAGTCCCAGAGGATTTAAGTTAGTTTTGAAAGTCACACAGCTCATAAGTGAAAGAGCTGGAAATGAGACCAGAGACTTTTGGCTCTTTATTCCTTGTAGTGTCTACTGTACCATGCAGCCTCCCAAACCTACAGGAAACACTGGGCCAAGAATGGCAGTGGACAGAAAAATAGTCAATGTATTTAAAAACAAGACAGTAACCAAATAGGAAAACTGGGGAAATGAGAGATACTGAAGAGAAAAGCAAATGGCTAATAAACACATACAAAGATGCTCACCCTCACTACCAACCTGGGAAATGCAAATTAAAACTATGATCACACCCATTAGATTATTGAAAATTAAAAGTCTGAGAATGCAAAGCATTGTGTCAGATGGGGAGCAATGAAAATTTTGATATACTACCAAGGGGAGTGTAAAATGTTATGACCTATTTTGAAAGCCATTTGCCATTATCAAGCAAAGTAGAAGATGTATGTGGCCTGAGCCCCATAGTTCTATGCCAATACGCACCTCACAAAAACTCTCCTATATGGGCACAGGGGCCATGGGAAAAGATTTATTTAATAGCCAAAAATTCGCAAGAACCCAAGAATCCATTAACGGAAAAATGGATAAATATTAATAATGATGTTGTCATCCAATAGATACTTATATTGCAATGAAAATTAATGAACTAGAGGTAAATGTATCAATCAAAAGAGATAAATATCATAAATACATTTTGAGAGGTATTACAGAAGATTAATATAATGTACCATTTATAAAAGTTTTAAAATATGCAGAAACATATTTGGGGGAAATTATTTAGGGATTAAATATTGTGTAGGAGTATTGTTTAATGGGTACGTAGATATGCTGTAAAAATATAAAGTACATGTGAATAACATACCTCAAATGCGGGACAATGATTGCCTTTGGAAAGGACAGTAAGATAGGGCAAGTGGAAAGGGTGCTACTCAGGGGAGCTTCAACTAATATGAGCAGTTTTCTAATCATTAAGTTGGATGGTAGTACACAAGTATTTATATCCTTTGTACCTTTAAATGTGTAAAATATATTTAATAATTTTAAAAATAGAAAAGGCAGGAGAAGGAGAAAAAGTTCGTCTGAATCAGATATTTCTCTGGGACTCTGGAATAACCAGAACCAGTAAAAAAAATGATGCCAAAGCATCCCCAAGAGCCCCAGTCTGTTGAGAAATCATAGTGGCAGAGAGAGGATGCCCATTCTAATTGAGTCCTGAGCCATGGTCCAGGTCCCAGTCATCACACCAGCATCCTCCATGATAGACATAATTGAAGAGTGACTTCCATCCAAACAACACATGGTCTGTGACATTTTCCAGAATCAGACCTAAGCTGGATCACTAAAAATGTTATTTTGGTTTTGTGTGTGTGTTTTGTTTTCTCTTTGTTTGTTTTTGCTTTTCTGTCTCTATATCTTTAGCACTTTGAAGCCGTTCTCAAGCATTTAAGAAGTGTTGGTCAAGTCTACGTAGTTGAGGGTATTTGACTCAGGAATGTTTTACTCAGAGAATTATTTACTTTTAAAGTGCATTTAGTGGAGAAATCACTTTATATCAGACAACTAATAAAAACCAGAAAAGTATTTAACACTGAAAGATCAACTCTGTTTTTCATTTTTGATGTTTGCCATTTTGATGGGGAATGATGTCTCAGAATGAAATCCCTAGCCATTTACACTCCCATTTCAGAATTATCCTGATAAACTGATGTCTGTTGAGTTACTCATTTGACAATCTGTGAAAACATGTCTTTTCTTCCCTCATATACTTCTCAGCATAGTCAGACAAAACATCAGTTTGCAAGTTCAAATTCTCAAATATTATGGGTTTTGAGGATAAAAATATCAATCCATGATAGAGCAGTTCTCCAAAAATAAAATTGTTTTTCATATATAATTGAATTTTTAAAACAATTATCTCAAACAAACATGTTTTGCTGCACTTTAAGGAGGAAATACTACTTTTCTGAATATATTTTATAATGCATAATTTGTTTTCAGGGCATTTGGAATGTCATAAAGTTAACTTCTAACCAGTGGACTTCTGTAACTTTGATTAAATTCATTGGGGAGAAAGGACAAATGCCTTTTTTGAAAAGATCTACAGAAATATCAGTTTATTTAAGATCAGAGGATGAGTCTATGGCAGCTTCCTGTTTGAAAGCCAGGATCTCAAATCACCTCCATCCTATTTTAGCAACAATAATATTAATAATCATTGACATTTATTGAGCACTCACCACATGTCAGGCATTGTGCCAAGCCCTTTTCCTGCATTATTTCATTTCATCCTCACAACAACTTTACAAGTGAGAAACTCTGACTCAAAATAGTTAAGTCACTTGCCCAATATCACAGATCTGCTTAGTAATAGAGCCAGGATATAGACCCAGATCCCTGATCCCAAAACCTGTGCCCTTGACCTTTACTTGTGTATACATGGAGCCTTTGTGATTACACCTTGCTATGCAGAGAGAAAACAAATGGGCAAAATGCTTTTCTCTTTAATAAAGAAGGAAAAAGACAATTGACTCAGATAAGTGATACCAAAAAACCCAAATCCTAGGCTATGTTTTTCATCCAACACTTATGAGCACCACTTCTCAATAGTTTGAAAATTCTATTAACCAAATTACACTGAAGATGGAAATGAAGATGAAAAAGAAGCATAGAATGTATGCTTCTTTAAGGTATAAATTCTTACAAACTTTTCTTTTTGAGCCTTTCTTTCTGAATATGAAGTTGTTTCTGAACATCAAGAATAACCAAATAGCATTTTTTTCAGTGTTTGATTATTATATTTGTTTGCAGATCTGTTGTATCCTGGAGTCACCTACAGGGAATTTAAGTATTATTCTAATGGATTCTCACTGCCTACTGAGAAACAGAGCACCTCTTTCACTAGTCTCATAGATAGTTTCATTTCCCTATGTCAATGTTAATTGAACTTACCTCATGTTGTCAATTTTGTTCTTTGTTTCCCTTGCAGGTGATGTCATTGTCTATATTAATGAAGTTTGTGTCCTTGGACACACTCATGCTGATGTAGTCAAACTTTTCCAGTCTGTTCCTATTGGTCAGAGTGTCAACCTGGTATTGTGTCGTGGCTACCCTTTGCCCTTTGATCCTGAAGATCCTGCCAACAGCATGGTGCCACCCCTTGCAATAATGGAGAGGCCACCTCCAGTGATGGTCAATGGAAGACATAACTATGAAACATATTTGGAATACATTTCTCGGACCTCACAGTCAGTTCCAGATATAACAGATCGGCCGCCTCATTCTTTGCACTCAATGCCAGCTGATGGTCAGCTAGATGGCACGTATCCACCACCTGTCCATGACGACAATGTATCTATGGCTTCATCTGGGGCCACCCAAGCTGAACTTATGACCTTAACCATTGTGAAAGGTGCCCAGGGCTTTGGCTTCACCATTGCCGACAGTCCTACAGGACAGAGGGTGAAACAAATACTTGACATTCAGGGATGCCCTGGCCTGTGTGAAGGCGACCTCATTGTTGAGATCAATCAGCAGAATGTACAGAACCTGAGCCATACGGAAGTCGTGGATATACTTAAGGACTGTCCCATTGGAAGCGAAACTTCTTTGATTATCCATCGAGGAGGTAAGATAAACACTGGCTCAGCAATCATTATGCAGGTAAAGTAGTAGGATCTTTGCAGTAATATTGAAAAATTGGAAGTTTCTCTGGAGTTGAATGAAATCGTACTTAAAAAAGGTAAAAGAGTAAGAGAAAAACATGAGTCCAGGAAGCTCTGCTTTTTCATCTTTTTTTTTTTAAGGGGAGGAGATAATTAGGTTTATTTATTGACTTATTTTATAAGTGGAGGTACTGGGGACAGAACGCAGGACCTTGTGCATGTTAGGAAGGCACTCTACCACTGAGCTATCCCCTCCCCCCGGAAGCTCTGCTTTTTAATTTTGAGAATGCGTCTTTTCCTTCTCTATTAAACATGATAAAAATAGTGCTTTCAGTCTTACAAATATATACTGCTGTGATCTGAGAGGGTAAAGATTGAATCCCCAAGTATAAGTGGGCTATATTCCCAAAGTTCACTAATGTATCAATTGTGAAGGCCTCAGACTGGTTTCCATTGATTTAATTAAGAGACTTGATTTTTTCCCACGGAAGGAATACTCCGATTGTTCTTAGGATTGCAGGCTAGAGGGTGGAAGCTGGTTCAAGTCCTTCCAAGTTCAAGTCCAGTCTTGGTAATCCCCATAAGGACCAATGGAAGCTGTGTCACTGTAGAAAAACCTTTTCAGAGTTGTGAATAGGGTTCCTCAGGACACTTCTTCTGTTACTGTAGGGTCTTCTCTGGCAGCAAGTAGCGAGTAGTGCCTTCTGTGACCTGGGAAGAAAGTTACGGGACAGGATTAGTTGTGAAGTTCTGGGCTGAATGTTCCAGTGAAGTATGGAAATGGGAGCAGTGAGGACTTGCGGGCAGAGCTCTGAGCCCTGGAGTTTTCTTCAAGCAAATGGAGCTCAGCAGAAGGCTCTGTCTTCATTCCTCTGCTTCTCTGCTCTTGATTATCAGTGAAATAGGGGGAGAAAGGAGGGAAGAGGCACAGAGAGGACACTTGAGAACAGAGTATAAAAGAAAGGGCTCGGGCTAAGTGATGGTTTTCTACCAGCCAAATTTGGGACTTAGGACACTTAAAGTCCGCGAGCCTCACACGTCACACGCATATTGGGATGAGAATACTGCCTGACCGGATGGCAGTGTTCTTAGTCTATTGGGCCACAATAGGTGCTCATTAAATGCCTACTGAATCTAAATTAGCACAAAAGCTCCAGTGAGGATGGGTCAGAAGGAGCAGTGCTGTGAGGAACTCATGTGTGAAGAGCACACTTGTGGCAAACATATGTGATTGTCTATTCAAAGCACTACAAACAGCATGAAAGGCCTGTCAGTTTGAAATGCAAATGAAAGCAGCTGAAGCTGAAAGATGCACCTTTTATCATTTATTTGGCCCTCTCTGCAGGTATCTCCCCTTCAAGGAAGTATTTTGCATTATTTTATTGATTCCTTGTGTGGAAATGGACACCAAACACTAGGCAGGTGTGAGCAACACTGTACAAAGTGCTATGATCCTATAGTAAAAAAATAAATTACAATGACAGCAGAAGTCTTAAATGTGACCTTAAAGCCTTATTACAAAATAGCACTTGAATCTTGATAATTAAATATTGACAGTGAATTTTAATTTCTCCCATTGCTTAAGATTAAAACAAATATTCTTAATTAAATAGTCATACCTTCATAATATGCAATCAAAAATCAAATTTTTCTAACAGGCTCTTGATATTAAAAGGCATAACTGAAAATCACTGTGCAGTTTTCACTATATGATTCATAGAAACAAGTTTGGACACGTTTTATATATAATACCTTTTTTAAAGGCATAATATAGCAAAAAAAATTGAAATCATTTATTCATATATATAGTCACATATATATAATATGTATTTATGTTATTGGCATTTGTACCTTTTCTGAAAATATTTCTGTGTGCCTGTTGTCAGCATGACTACCCTACTCTTGCTGGTTCTTTCCCTCTACTCTCTGCCACCCCTGTTTAATCCTCAAGTATTCAGAGTTTTTTTTTTTAATTGAAGTATAGTTGATTTACAACATTGTGTTAGTTTCAGATGTACAGCAGAGTGGTTCAGTATTTTTACAGACAGATACAGAAATCGAGTACTCAAAGTTTTGTTTGCATTTTGTTTGTGGGGATGAGAAATTTGTTTGTATTTTGTGGCTAGTGGAGAATTGCAGAATATAGTACCCTCTGATGCTGAAAGTACTTCTAGTCAGAAACCTCTTGTGTTTCCCTAGTGTCCCACAATTTGCACTTGTCTCTCTGAAATTAATAGGAATTAACATCGTGTTTTTGTGATGAAATTCCCTCTGACTGTTTTACTAGAGGCTACTCCTAAGAGCTGATGGCCTCATTCAGATAAGCATAGACCTTCAAGAGCAGATTCATATTTCTGGGTCTTTATATCAGGATGGTGGTGGTTTGTTTTTAATTATTTGCTAGGACTTTTTGTATTTATAAAGTAATAACGTACATGGTTTGATTTTTTCAAATAGTTTCAGAAGGCATATAATTAAAGTAATTCTGTCTCCTGTCCCAGGCTTTCAGGCATTTTCCCAGAGGCAAACATATTTTTGTGAACATGTACTTCCAGAAATTTAGTAGCCTTAACTAATTTAGCATTAATGGAATGATATTATACATACACGTCTTGCTCTGAATAGCTTGGTTAATAGGGTGTATTTTATTTTTTAACACACATCATTGTACTATAATTTACATACCATAAAATTCACTACTTACAAGTATAGACTTCAGTAAGTTTTGCTAAAATGATACAGTTGTGCAACAATCACCATAGTCCTTAAAACATCCATCATCTCAAACTCCCTCAGCCCCCAGATGATCACTAATATACTTTCTGGATAGTTTTGCCTTTCTAGAAATTTTTTTGTAAGTGGAATTATACAGTATGTAGTCTTTTACTTAACGTAATGCTGTTGAGATTTACCCACGTTGGTGCGTGACTGAGTAGTTTGTTTCTTCTTATTGCTGAGTAATATTCTGCCATTTTTAAAATCCATTCACCAGTGGATGGACATCTGAGTTGTTTTCAGGTGTTGGCATTTATGAATAATGTTGCTGTGAACATTTGGATGTAACTGTTTGTATGTGCAGGTATTTTCATTTTTCTTGAAGTAGAGTGGCACGACTGGCTTATGTGACAAGTATATATTTAAATTGTTCAGAAATTGTCAGAATGGTTTCCAAAATGGTTGTACCACTTTACATTCCCACTAGCAATGTATGAGGTTTCCAGTTTCTGCTCATTGTTGCTCGTACTTGGTATAGTCATTTTTTTTTGATCATGGCCATTTTAGTGCCTGTATTATGATGCCTTTTTGTGATTTTTAACTTACATTTCTCTAATCATTTCCTGTGTTTACCACGTTCCCATGTGTTTGTTAGCATTAGTTATCTTCTTTGGTGATGTGCCTGCTCAGTATTTTGCCCATTTGTATATTTATCAAGCTGTTTATCTGCTTATTAAGTAGTAAAAGTCCTTTATAGATTTTGATTACAAGTCTTTTGTAAGACAAATGATTTGCAAATATTTTCTCCCAGTCTGTGGCTTGTCTTTTCATTTTCTTAATGCTTCCTTTTGAAGCAGAGAAGTTTTTAATTTTGATGAAGTCCAGTTTATTGGTGTTTTCTTATATGGATCATTTTTTTGTGTTAGATCTGAGAAATCTTTGCCTAATCCAAGGTCACAGAGTTTTTCCTGCATTCTTCTAGAAGTTGTATAGTTTTAGCTCTTACATTTAGACCTATAAACCATTTCAAGATCACTTTTGAGCATAGTTTAAGGTAAGGATCTAAGTGCATTTTGTTGTATCTGGATACCCAACTGTTGTAGCACTCTTTATCAAAAAAAAAAAACCCTTTCCTTTTGAATAGCCTTGGCACTTTTGTCAAAAATAAATTTGCATAAATGTGAGGATTTATTTCTATCCTCTATTCTGTTCCATTGACCTATATGTCTATCTTGATGGTTATACCACACTTTCTAGATTAGCTTTATATTAAATCTTAAAATCAGGTAGTGAGTCCTCCAACTTTTTTCAACTTTTTCAAAAGTATTTTAGTTATTCTAGATCCTTTGCATTTCCATATAAATTTTATGATTTTTTTTAATTATTTAAAAAATAAGCCTACTAAGATTTTGTTGTTGGATTAAATCTATAGAACAGTTTTCAGTGAATTGCCATACTTGAATTTCTCAATTCATAAATATGTCTATTGCTTCATTTATTTGAATCTCCTTTAATTTCTCTTAGCACTGGTTTGTAGTTCTCAATGTACAGATCTTGTACTTTTTTGTTAAACTTATTTCTAGCTATTTTATTCTTCTTGATATTATTGTGAATGGAATTGTTTTCTCAGTGTTATTTTCAGAATATTTGTTGCTAATATATAGAAACCCATTTGACTTTTAGTTTTGATCTTGTGCACTGTAACCCTATTATACTCAGTTCTGGAGGCTTTTTTTTTTAATTCCAGAAGATTTTCTACATAGATTATTATGTCATCTGGTAGTAAAGTTTTATTTTTTTCTTTCCAACTTGTATGTCTTTGATTCTTTTTCTGTGCCTTATTACACTAGCTAGAAACTCCAGTATGATGTTGAATAGAAATAATTAGAGAGGGGACATCTTTGCCTCATTGACGATTTTAGTGGGAAAGCATATTAGCCTTTAACCATTAAGTATGAATTTTTTTGGTGTAGGTTTTATATGCCCTTTATCAGATTGAGAAAGTGCCCTTCCATTTTTAAATTGTTGAGAATGTTAATAATCAGTGTCGTGGCTTCCATCAGATGTTTTTTCTCCAGCTATTGAGATGATCATGTCATTTTTTTTTCCTTCATTAATAATAGTGTTTTATTTGCTTGATTTTTAGAGGTTAAACGGATTGTGCACCCCTGGGATAAACCCCGCTTGGTCCTGGTGTATAATTCTTTTTGTATGCTGCTAGATTCTGTTTGTTAAGAATTTTTGAACC